TAATTACATTGTATATGTGTAATTACATTGTATATGTGTAATTACATTGTGTATGTGTAATTACATTGTATATGTGGAATTACATTGTATATGTGGAATTACATTGTATATGTGTAATTACATTGTATATGTGGAATTACATTGTATATGTGGAATTACATTGTATATGTGTAATTACATTGTATATGTGGAATTACATTGTATATGTGGAATTACAGCTACCATTTTTACATCTACGTATCTACATCATAGCCAAACAAACCGTCGCGTGTGTTAACGTATAGCACAATACCTAAGTACAAGGACTGGTTCCCCTGGCTGACGTTGTCGTCTAGGTAGGTAATTCCTAGTGTGTATAATGGCGACGCACCGACACCAATAAGAATAGTGGCTAGGTAGAAGACGTAGATGTAGTTGGATAAACTACCACTCTCGCATGTCTCGCGGGATGCATTTGTTGCTTCTGTGAAGAAGATAGAGGAGGAAATTTAGGGCGCCTACGAAAACGCACGGCCTACACTCACGAACACACGCGCGAGCACAAGCAAACACATACAAACATTTATGTACGTGTGTCCGTCCACACACACGCATGCATACGCCCACACACACGATCACACATACACACACGCGTGTGCACACGATCACACATACACACACGCTCACACGTGCGCACACATACCCATACAAGCGCACGCGCACACACACACGCGCGCGTGCACACCCACACGTGCACATGTACCCACATGCGCGCATGCACACGCACACATGTGTACGCGCACCCACACACGCGCGCATGCACACGCACACATGTGTACGCGCACCCACACACGCGCGCACACATGATAACCTATATAACTAGTCAGTACAGATAAATGTTCTAAAGACGCACATAATAGAACGTTTACATAATATATAATATATTATATCATATTATGATAAAAACTACGTATTAGGTGATAGATTTGAGTGATTTCTCTAAAGCGTAGATACTTGACAAGACCTACCGTCGCATAAATCGCTGACGTTGCTTCCAAACTGTTGATAGACACCAACGGTGAATTGCGGTAGAGAATATATGAAACCGCCTATTCCCATCACGATAACCCCGTAGCCGTACCAGCGGCCCTTATGTCCTCTTCCACCGTAGTAACACACGGGAATCAAAACTACTGCCACAGCTAAAAAAAGACAGAAGCCATACTACGATATCCAAAACAAATACACACACACTACTGCAACACCCAAAACAGATACAATGAACAAAACTTTAACAAAATTAATACTAACAAAACAGCTGAAGCAGGGTAGGCTCAAAAGCCATACTGCTATACAGCTAAAACAAATAAATAAGTACAGTACTACTATATTACTGTAGGAGATTAATTGCGATAATAAATCAAATATATAATAACGCTGCGGCATCTCAAAACATAACACAACTGCAGCAAAATTGGCCAACGCAAGCATTACGCACGCATTCCAAAAACAGCTAAAAGAAGAGATTACGCAAAAAAGGAATTTCAATGTAGTGATCATGCAGGGTGACGCTGAAGGGGGAAATTCAATATGTAAACATCAAGCTTTATATAATGTCTCCTAGCGCCGTTAAAGCACGATCTTTTGCTCTTTCTGGTTAAGGAGAAATAAAATGGCCATATTGTGCACTTTTAGACAGAATAGAAACTTTTCACATGCATATTACTATAGTTCCTCAATCGAAGATTTTTAGGCCGTGACAATTAAGCAGCGCCGCCTGGTGGCCTTACTACGCCGGATATTTGTTTAAAGCATTCGGTAGCTATATTAGGAGTAATGATGACGGTGGGGCCAGCTGAAATATAATGATATTCGCGCACAGTATAGTGGAGCCCTCATTGAATCGCGTTGAACACTGGCGCTTTACAAACCTGATTGAACGCGACGATGAGACAAGCTGTGCGGTAGAGAGAGTGAGAGAGAGAAAGAGAGAGAGAGAGACAGAGAGAGAGAGAGAGAGAGAGACAGAGAGAGAGACAACGAGAGAGACAGAGAGAGAGACAAAGAGAGAAAGACAGAGAGAAAGACAGAGAGAAAGACAGAGAGAAACACACATGCGCGCACGCAACGCACGCACGCACGCACTCACGCACGCACAACACACACACACACACACACACACACACACCACACACACCAACAGCAACCCACTTATTGTGTTGTACACATATGTGTGTTTACATATATACACACACATATATATTTATGTGTTTGATAGTCATGATATAATTTATCTTTACATACACATATTAACACACACACCACACACACCACACGACACACACAACACATAGATATACACACACACAATGATATTCCCTATTATACTTACTCCTGATTATATATAACATAAGTCCCACAAGCGCATAGACGTTTTCGCATGTTTCGATGGATTCCTTGAGGCATCATGGGATGGGGGGTCCTCGACACGAAGTCCGCAACAAAATTCCTTCGTCGATGATAATGTTATGGTGCTCTCGCTATAAATCTCCAGATCCATGAATTACCGACTGAAACCCTTAAACCTCAATTGGATTTGTACTCATTAGCTACTCTATCTCGTTGCTTACCGTAAATAGCTGATTGTTCGACCGTGTGCGAATCATCTCGATTAATAACTGAACAATTGCGACAGACTACGAGACAGTAGATAAATTGTTGCAGTCAAGTGTCACACGGCGCGCGGCCGTTATGCTGTAACCCCGATACAATCGCAGTTGGTGAAGACCTACATAGACGAGAGTTACTGCATGTTATAGCTTGCCGCATTGTTATCGTATTGTTAATTATTTTTGCTTGGCCCTTGTAACTTGAACAAATTATTTGCTTCGTTAAAATTAATGTTTTGGTCTTTTTTTGCATTAAGTCATGTAGCGAACGACACCGCAGTTACACGCCCAACGTCTGTCACGCAAGCACACAGCTTTTCCACAATTTCTAGCATATCAATAACTATATATATTATAAATAATATAGAATATATTATAGAGTTCTTACCATTTTAAAGCGTTCTTATAATATCTAAATCACTTCAAATTTATCTAAAACTATTTTTTCGAATGTTTATTTGAACGCCATAGTTCCTGTTATTACATATCTCTGTGATATGTCGTAACCTTGACTATTTGAGATCTCGGTACGTCTTGCCACCAGTTCTAGTCATTCTAGCAAGGCTATAATTCCACTCCAACTAGAGCTCCCCTACCCAATCCGCTTCGGCGAGTCCAACACACCTTGAAGGTAAGACGGCATCCGAATAAATGTTCAATCTCCTTCGCTTTTCTTGCGTCGTTGCAGAAGAGGAGCGATAGCGACATGTAGTAGAATGTAACTAGCGTGCGGCATCCGCGTTGTGTTCACGAACGAATATCAGCGATTACACATAGGACGGTATCGTTAATAGCGGATGCATCTCACACGTTCTCCGTGAAAGATATATTTAGCGGTTGGCAGTTCGCGTGCAATTAGGGATTGCATTTCTAGATTGCAATTTTGGATTTCTAGATAGATTTACTTTTGATTTCTAGATTCAATCTAGATATGCATTCTCAGATTTCAATTTTCTAGATTGCAATTTAGCGGTGCGTCCTGCCGTCTGAAAACATATATATAGTTGCTTCGCCTGCCGTGCCTTTATTTTCTATACGAAACCATGGTAATCCTAGAGTAAATACGGGTAGGTAACGGATATGTAAATCTTTTATTCATGCAAAAAATGCACGTTGTTTTGGTGATTTTCAATTACCATTTGGCAATCGCGTCGTCGTGCTGCATTGCAACCAGCGAAAACAGGGAGAAATCTGACTTGTCAAGCGCCTGCAAGCGGATTGTATTCTCTAAACGGCACTGGCAGTTGTTGGTTGCAGGCTGCGTGATCCGGGCTCGCCGCTCGAATCACTAAAAAATATACAATATACTCACCTCAAAATAATAGCTTAGTATATGGCCCGAAGGTAGTGATTCGACTGCGGGTAGATCATTTATATGTTCATGTTTTTATATACTAGTATTTAAATCTCAGGGATTCCATCTGTAATATCTCGTGCTATCAACGTGAGTGAGGGTTATGGCCACGAGATGACGCGAATGCAACGTGTGTCGTTCGCTGGCTATCGTTTTTAGGTCAGTAATAAAGTCTAGTACCCTGTTATGCCGGTCTAATCGCACATGCTACATTAGCTGTGTTGTACTCATGAAAAATAAAATAAAATTCAAATTTGGGTCGCAAATAATGTCTTTAAAGAGACGACCACTAACGGTTATAAGGGTTAGTTGACTCCTAGATTTTACTGTGCATACACTGACTACTGTATAAAAATCGTGCTTAATACGCACACGTATTTGTTCACCAGATACCTACATTACGATGTTAATAATTAAACCTGCAGCGCACGAAATTTGAAACGGCGCCATTGCCACCGCGCCAGTGCTGTATTTATGCGTTTAAATGCCACAACCGGGTTGCGATATCTTTTTTGAACACAGGACAAAGGTAACCGGTTGACGTTAGATGTGAATATAAAATAGAATTAACGTAGTAAACGTAACATGAGCGAAAAAGCGTATTATCATTAGCGATGTACGCTATACACAATTTAATGTGACATTGTCACAAAGGAAGAAGAGCGTTAAAAAACGATCCATGCGTGTTTACATGCATTACACCAGTATTTTGTAGGCCTACTTAGATAAAACGTAGGCATATCTCACGCGCGAGAATAGCGGTAAGAAACCTACACAGGGTCTAGCCATAGCCCATGAAATCACTTCATCCCTTTCCATCATACGCACAGATCTCACAGAGAACCATGCACACTTCAAAGTGTGACAGCAATACTCACTTAAATGGGACAGTGACGCCCGCATAAGGGCAAATTCGACAAGTTATGAGTAATCCAATCCGACACCATCGACAGAGCTAAAGCGAGCTGTCAGCCTCAGCATTTCCCGGCGTTCTCAGCGGATAGTACTGCGTGCGATGTACCCCCCGGAAAATGCCGGTCGCTGCTGCACCACACCGTGCAGCACTCTGGAACATGCTACGAATCAAACCATGTAAGGTGTCATCTCTAACGCTGTCGCGCACGCGTGATAACCTCTCAGCCAATACACTGAAGCAGATATTATAAGTCACCCCCGTTAGTTAGCAATGCAGCGAATGGCGTCGTGGCTGTCAGCTAAACACGGTACTACAGATATGTACCCGAGATATTTTAGGTTGCATGTTAGTATTATGTTTATATTTTTATATGAGGTATGTTTTAGGTTAGATTAGGTGGTTAGAGTTGTAGGGTAGAGTTTAGGATTAGGGTTAAGTGTTAGGGTTAGGTTACACTTCTGTAGTGACAAGTCCGTGTCAACACTTGTGTATACATATATGTACCTCGGTACAGTATACATGTAGTAGCCTGTTACGACAACGACCCCTTGAGCGCTAGTACGCGACGTGACCATGTGGTGCCTAGGGTGAATGTTTGACGTAGTACAGACGATCGTAACAGTGTTCCGCAGATTTGTGCTAGTCAATAAATGTTTGAGAATGAACTTGCAGAAAAAAAGTGCGATAAAGTGCCGCTGAGAGACGCGAAGGTAAGGGACATTGCTCGCGTGAGAAGCGACGATAGTTGGAGCGGTGGGAAAAAATAGCCAGCAGAGTTATTGAAGAGTAGGATTCATGCTCAGAAAAAAAAAATATGAAAAGAACAACAAAGAGCAAGAAGGTTGAAAAAATAAAACGAGAAAGCTATATGTTATACATCTGCGTGTGTATGTTGTATTATGATGTCTGTATTTATGTATGTATGTATGATATATGTATGTTATTATGTAATGTATGTATGCCATGTATTGCATGCAGCGACGTGCGGTGCGTGGCGTGCGTTGGTGCGTGCGGCGTGCGTGGCTGTGGCGTTGCGGCGTGCGTTGATGTATGTATGTACGTATGGGGGGCGTATTGCATTGCGTAAGGTCATGGGTGCGTTAGTGGCGTATGGGCGTCGCGTGCGTGACTGCGTGCGTGCGTGCGTGCGTGCCGTGCGTGGCGTGGCGCGTGTCGGCGTGGTGCGTGCGTGGCGTGACGTGCTGCGTGCCGTTGGTGGCTGCGATGTGTGTGCGTGTGTGTGTGTGTTGCGCGGCCGCGAACGTCGTGTTAGGGGGGAAAAGGAGAAAGTATGAGAGAGTGAGAAGAGAAGAGAAAGGGGCACAAGGCACAAAACCCGTTAGAAAGAGATGCGAGAGAGCGAGTGAGCAAGAGAGAAAGAGGAGAGGGAGGGGGAGAGCAGAGAGAGAGAGTGAGAGAGAGGAAGATGAGAGAGAGAGAGGAGAGAGAGAGGAGTAGATGAGAGAGAGAGAGAGAGAGAGAGAGAGAGAGAGAGAGAGAGAGAGAGAGAGGCGACAATGCTATGAACAGAATATACCTGCTATTAAACTTGCCGATCCAGACGTGAGGTTAAAAATGTTTTCTAGTAACTTTGGCGAGAAATGAATAAAGCCTCCGACCATGAAGGCTTCAAGTCCATCGCAGATGACTATAAACACATACGTCGGGTTGCGCGCGAGCAGCGTCAATGAGGCAGGCAAATCTTTGAGCTCACACGAAGCCTGCTGCGAGGCATTTGATCCCCGCCACGCGCGTGACACTCGACTACGTCAATACCTTTCTCTCGGTTGATCCTGTACGATACCAAAATAGTACGATTTAGCAACAGTAGTGCGCTGCTAGAGTAGATGACATTTAAAGAAAACCTACTAGGCGCAAGTATAGCCGCTTGTTATATAAACTTTCAAACTCGTTCCTACGATAGGATCAATGCGTTTTACGAAGTGTTTCTCAGATACATAAAGTGCTTAAACAGTGCTAATTAGCGAAGCGTTTCCTTAAGAACATTGCGATAAATTCTTATATTATTTAGCGAGACGGCTCCAGTCACGTAAGTGTGCAATAGCGCTAACGGCACATGACGTGCCTGTCTATGATACAACCCACACACACACACACACACAACACACAACACACACACAACACACACACACCAGCCACACGCACCACACACACGCACGCACACACACACACACACACACGCACCGCGCACGCGCACACAAAACACACACACACACACACACACACTACACACACACACACGAGAGGGCGAGATAGCAGAAGCGAGGGAGCGAGGAACGAGACAAGAAGAGTGAACGAAGGAGCCGACGGAAAGAGGATGACGGAAAGACGGATAGACGATAAGACGGAGAGAAGACGGAGAAGAGAGACAGAGACAGAGACAAACAGAGACAGAGCACGAGACAGAGACAGTTGAACTATGACCAGACCAGTGACAGGAAGGACCAGTGACAGTGAACAGTGACATTGGGTACAGTGACATGACAGTGCGAAAAGGCAGTGACCGCTGACAGAGTGACAGTGACAGGACAGTGACAGTGACTGACAGTGACAGTGACAGTGACAGTGAGCAGTTGAGAGAGAAAGCAGT